ATTTAAAAAATATACTAAAGGTTATATTTTATAGTAAAGAACAAATTATAGTTATCTGACAGATATAACATTAAATCTCAAAATATAGGAATAGCTAGAAAAGGATAAGATTAAAGATTTGGGTAAATACAGCATATTAACTGAAAATTTTACTATAAACTATTAAGTTGAGCATTTCATACAAATAGAAAAGCTTCTGATTATTATTATTAAGTTTTCCTTTTTCTGGCTGACAAGAATAAAGGCAATAGGCTCCCCGGGAGAGTTGTCTTATTAATTAGGTCAGTAAATGACTCAGATGTTATATCCATTGTGTTCTCTCCAAATCCTTTGACCCAAAGCCTCTGATGTATATACACATCATTAGGAAAAATAATGGTTATTTCCTAACTTGAGTTATATTAAAGAATATGGAAATTAATCACATTGATCACTCATTGAAATTGTTTTCAAGAACTTCAGAGAGTCCAGTATACAGTTTCATTCCCCTTTCTCACACTTTTTTCATTAGCGGCACAGCAGTTATGAGAAATGAGCATCATTGCCCTTTTGGGTACTTCTGTTTTTACACTCTTCAGATGTGGAAATATGTCATTTAAATAATCATCTTATTTGTCAGGGGAGCAAAGAGAAGATTGTCTGTTTTTTGACAATGAGTCAATGGCAGCAATTGTATTCAAAGTGTGCAATGTCATAAAACCTGGACATTCAACTAGGGCAAGAGACAGAGTCAACCTGGAAATTGTCCTACTACCAAAATTTGGAAAGGATGAGTAAAATAAAGCAAAGAAGATTTCAATATCCAGCTGAACTCACACGAAAGAAAAGGAAATCCCCAGGTGTCAGAAACAAATAGAAACTAAAATCCAAGGCATACTTTCTAGTGTTAATCCTGAGGAGATCTTGACAGCAAGGTGGATTGTTTCTATGTCATGAAAACAGGATCTAAAATCTAGGGTCTCAAAGATGAATTATCATGATGGGTCAAAGGACAAGTCTTTGGGTCTGCTTAAAAGTGGAAGTTGGAATAGCAATGTTTGCATCAAGCCAGGGCCTGAATGGGCTATACCCTTACTGAACTAGAATGACTCTCATTAGCTTGGCGTGGAAGACAAAATAATCTCCCATGACAAACCAAAAGCCTACATAGCAAATGGGTTTGTAGGCCAAATGTCTACCACATAGTATCAACGAATGTACTAGTGGAATTTAACATAAAAATTGATCCCAAGCAGGTGTATCCCAAAGGGGCTCCTATAGAAGCAAATGCAAAAGCATTCTCCAGGGAGACTTTCACAAACTACATGCTCAGGATATCTCAAAAGTAGTCACTGTGTGCTAAAATAGAGATTACTCATGAAGAATCACACCAAGACCTACTCAAACCTTTTTAATTGCTTTATCTAAACATAATATTAAAAAGAATCTCAGAAAAAAAAGAAAATACAGTTGATCAACTACTCTCAATATCTTCTGAAGTGAACAGTAATACTAAATTTTACCATTTAATAACTCAACATTAATTCAATTATTTTTAAGAGCCAAGAATAGTTAGTATGGTACAAAATGGTATATGAAGCTAAAGGTTATGGCACAAGAGCCAACTATTTTTTACTCTCTCTAAATAATTTTATAATTGTAACACTGACATTGTAGTACAAATTAACTATATTTTTTTAATGATAGTAACTAAAAGTTTGAAAAGGATATTAAATAAATGTTAATCGATAACGAAAAAGCTTATAGAAGAAAGTAAACAGGGATCTTAAAATGAAAGTTACTTAACTTAGTTCAATATTTTCCTTTTTGATGCTGGCAGAAAATTCCATCCGAATTAGGTTTTCAGCTTTTCTATTGTGTACCATTTCTACTTTTTGTCTTTCTGGAATTACAAAATGTCTTCCTATGTGAAACTAAAAACTTATTTGAAGAACTAAATAAACAGTTTCGAGCTGCCAAATACTCCTTTACCTGTAAAATTTGAGAAAATGCCAATTTTGTATATTTTTTTTCCTATTCTAACCTTTCAATGAATGATGTCCTTTAATTGGCTGTGGCTTTCTTTTCCCCAAAATTTCAAGTAATATAAACCTCAAATTGAAAAAACCCCAGTAAAATCTAATCTAAAATAAACTGATTTCAATGAATGATGTCCTTTAATTGGCTGTGGCTTTCTTTTCCCCAAAGTTTCAAGTAATATAAACCTCAAATTGAAAAAACCCCAGTAAAATCTAATCTAAAATAAACTGAAATATATTAAAATGTCTGTGAATTATGTGTGAATGACAAATGAAACTCTCATTATAAAAATTATAAAGATTCATACTGATAAATGTGAGAAGTCTTTGAATTTAGAGTCTAGTTGGGCAATGTGAGAACAGACTGAAGTATTTCAATTATACTCTGTAGGGTTCCTCTAAGTAAAATCCATGGATACTTTGAATAAATTATAAAATATCATGTGGACTAAAGACTGCCAACTGAGTAACTGTAACTATGAAAATAGTCTCCTTTATAAAACATTTGTTAAAGTATTTGAAAGTTTTTGATGTTGTAGAAGTATATTCTAATTATGAGCTAATGCAATATAACATTTCAAAATTCTCAGGCTTTTGATAAAGAACTGTAATGTATGCCGTGAACGTAAAAAAATATTGGCTAAAGCATGCTTAGAATCAACATTCGGCTCATCATCAAAATTGTCTGTGCTAACCATATCAAATAATATTCAAGTACCCCCTATTCTCTCAGTGTTGTTTTAGATCCTCTTTACTGTTTGCTTTATATTTAAATGGTACACATAGAAGGAGCTTCTAACCTAATAATTATGGGGGGAGGGGGATGATAACAGAAACGTTATTTTTCATATTTTATGAATTCATATTATATGTTTAGTTTTTAGCTATATTATCTTGTTTAAAAGCTTATGAAGTAGGTGATATTATTTCTATTTTACAAATGAGAAAAATGAACCTCAAAGAGTTGGTTAAATACTTGCTCAATTTAAACCATCTCTAAGTAGCCAAGTCAGCACTTGACTATACTGCCTCTGGAAATCCCAATGAACTTAAGCACAAGTAGAAATTAAACTAAGTAAAGAAAATGGGGTGTGGTGGGGGGACATTTGGATAAAAGGAATACTATTTGTAATGTCCATCAGTTGACTGCATAGGAAACACCTTCCTAAGATGATGTCTATGTAAATATTTCCAGTTCTCAGGAGTTAACCTATGACATCACCTTTCTTAAACACGTTTGTGAAAATTAATAATTCAACTTTACTGAACATATTAGGTTGGTTGTAAATTCAATTAAGGTAAAACATGAAGTAGTAATAGTAATAGACTGAGAGGGATTTTATTCAAAGTTAATATATCCATATATAAAGATTTGAAATTCGTTACACTAATTTTCCATATGGATGGATAATCTTCAAGTCTCCGCTTGAGTATCTGAAAAGTTGAATAAATGTCAGGCTCCTCATTTGAAGCTAGGCAGGGCCAGAAGTATGAATATTTTTTTGACAATCCCTGATAGGTCTGAGAAAGCAAGGAAGGGGACGGAAGGAGAGGGGAAAAAGCAAGTTGGCAAGAGAAAAGACAGACAGACATAAAATATGGTTTCCCAAGCCTCACTGTAGATTAGAATTACATGTTGAGTTTTTTGAAAAATTCAGATAACTAGTCTTACTAAATAAATAACTCTAGGGAAAAGGGACCTTGGAGTCTGTTCTTTCAACCATAGCATAGGCAATTCTAACGCTTATCAGGATTTGAATGGATTGGCAACAATATTTGAATGTACAACTTCCTTTTCAAATTCTCTTATTGAATATCTGATAGTATGTCAATTTAATTTGTCATCATTAAACTCCTGGTTTCACTTCACCTACATCTTCAGAGACCTGCTCTTTCTGTAATCTTTCTATTTCATTTAAGTCAAATATACTTTTCTAGTTGTTTAGTTACTTTGGCCCAAAACCTTAATCTTTGAATTTTCTTCTCACACTTCATAATTCATCAGCAATGTCTGTTAACTCTTCCACCACATTTTTACAAACTAACTGCTTCTTACCACATCCCTGCTAATGTCACTATCACTGCCATTCTAGTGCAAACCATTTGTATCTTTTATGGCTATTCTGAAAATAGCCTCCTAGTGGATTTCATCCCTCCTGTATTTCATCCCTCCTGTTTCCCCTCCTCCCAAGCTCTGCTTTGTCTTCACACTATTGCTTCTCTACCCAGCAGTCAGAAAGAGCTTTCAAAATATATTTTCACGTGTCCTGCTCATCCTTGTCACTCACTAGCTCCCTTAAAAGGCTTTTGTTTTCTTCACAGCACTTACCTCTACCTGACATGTATTTATTTGTGTATTCTTGTTGTCTTCCCACTGTAATGGAAGCTCCATAAAAGCACAGGCTTTTCTTTTTTTCACCTGGAATCATACCTGGCCTATAGTGATCTTCAACCAATATTTGCTGAATCAACGAGTAAATGAATGTGGCTTAGGTGTCTTCTAACTCAGGAAGTCTTCACTGATCAATATGATGGCTTTAGCACCCCTCTCCCATTCCTTCTTTACATTAAAGTATCTCTTTATCCCACATTGTTTCATACGTTTAGGTATGTCTTCCCCATTAAACTGATCTTTGAGAATGGGAAATTGTCTCTTTTATCTTTTCTATTTTAAGCATCATCATAGTGCTGAGTATCTAATACCTGTTCATTTTATTTTGAACTGAAATGCAGTTGGAATTGAAAGAATGAATGAATGGATAAATGCCAAGCATTCCTGAGAAATATTTCAGATCTTCCTGTAGTCCATTAAGAACAACAGTTCTTTGCATATAAGATACTAATTTACAGTATATAGATATTTGGATCAAATATGTATGGCCTTGCAATATATCTAATGTGTCGTAAAGATTTTATTTTTTGAGCTTTGTTAGTAAAATAATCTGATCTGTCTTTCAACACCCAAATTTTGTGTATTTTCAGAGATCATCTATAGTTGGGTATTTAACGAGTTCCCTTCCTTTGTGGCTGAAGACAGCCGGCGGTTCATTTCCCAGGAGACAGGCAACCTTTATATTTCCAAAGTACAAACATCAGATGTCGGGAGCTATATTTGTCTGGTGAAAAATACAGTGACGAATGCTCGAGTACTTAGTCCTCCGACACCTCTCACTCTACGTAATGATGGTAAGTTGCCTGGCCCAGATTAAAATGGTCAGCCATTTCAAATGTGAAAAATAAAGATGTATCCATGTTTGTCTAAGCACTTGAAACTAGTGCAAATAAAATAAAATAAGGCATTTGCCATATTTAGAAAGTCTACATTTTTTAGTCTGAGATTATGCGTGCCTTAGAATAAATTTTGACATAGGAAAATGATGCTCCATGGATGAGAAATATTCACTATAATACTACTCTAATGCCAGTAAGGGAGAGAGAATATGAAAAGAAGAACCATAATAAAGACTCCACAGTTCTTTTCCTTGCTCTTTAGTGCCTCTATATAGCATATGTGTATGAATTGCATGCTTTTTATGGGTTCACTTTTCATTACATTTTTATTTTAGCTGCCTTTAAATTGAATATTCAGCTTTTAATACTTCATGGTATAGTTATAATTGTTATTAGTACTTTTCCAATAATAGAAGCAGTTGGAACTTTAACTTTTAAGTGCAATTCAGGCAGAAGTGATGATTCTATAATTAAAGGTATTGCCATCTATGTAAGGTATCTTCAAATTTAAACACCTCATTTGGATTTATAGACATTTACAGTTAAGTAATGCATAAAGAAGTCAAGCACTATATTACTGTTGATATATGATATGCAGCTTGCTCTGCCATGCAATAAAAAAAAACTTTATGAAGGCATTATTAAGAAGCAAGCATGAGAATCCTGATTGATTGAAGTTTTAAAAAATAGTCTATTTCAACACTGTGCATTTATATTCTTATTTTTTAGAATATTTGCTGCTGGAATGTATGCCAAGAGTGATATTACAAGACCTTTGCTTACTGCTTAGATTCTCATAAACTTCATAGTTTTATATATGAGATTTTATAAATTATAAAGTGTATGTATATATACTGTGCTATATATATATTTTGTATGTATACTAAGCTGTACATACATAGTATTTATATTTTATATTTAGTGTATATATACGCACACACACACACAAACATGCACACTATATATAATAGTAATAACTTTACCAGGTAGAGAGCACA